GGTTAATGGTGTCAGTACTAGTGGATGATGATGTCAGTACTCGTGGTTGATGATGTCAGTACTAGTGGATGATGATGTCAGTACTAGTGGATGATGGTGTCAGTACTAGTGGATGATGGTGTCAGTACTAGTGGTTGATGGTGTCAGTACTAGTGGTTAATGGTGTCAATACTAGTGGATGATGGTGTCAGTACTAGTGGTTGATCGTGTCAGTACTAGTGGTTGATGGTGTCAGTACTAGTGGATGATGATGTCAGTACTAGTGGTTGATCGTGTCAGTACTAGTGGGTGATGGTGTCAGTACTAGTGGATGATGGTGTCAGTACTAGTGGATGATGGTGTCAGTACTATTGGTTAATGGTGTCAGTACTAGTGGATGATGGTGTCAGTACTAGTGGATTGTAATAACTAAGCGAGGAAGGCGTGGATTAACGTATATAGTTCGCTGCCACCATTGTAATGAGACAAGTTACCATTGTAATGAGACGGATCTTGCATGAAGAATATTTATATATATATAGGTAGAATATTTTAGTAGGAGAGTAAAAGAGAGGAATTTTTTTGGTAGCGTGGCAGTGATAGTTATTTACACTTCTCGTATCTTATACGTCAATACACATCTATTACGTCTTAAGGGCGACTTCTCAAACACCGCTTCGTTACAACTCTTTATTAATTACGAACATGACATGGACACATTAATAACACCTTCTATTGAAGTTACTAGGATATTATATTTACGTTACTAGGACATCATATTATGTTACTAGACACTCTGATTCTCGGACACGAACATGAAATGAATACACTTCCCACGTAAGTAACTCATCCCATGGAAAGCTCTGACAAACACTCACGTGACCTAGGGGAGGCCTAGCAGGTGGTCCTGGGTTGTCTCTATGGGAGACTGCTTAGCTGGCGCCGGAGGGAAGTCTCGGTCCTGACCGGAGGCGACTGGAGGCGACCGGAGGCGGCTTGCCTCCGGCCCCTGACTTCACTCGAGCAGGACTCGGGACGTGGTAGCTGGTCCTTCTTGGTTACAAGACACACTCTCTCTGTCCCTCTCTGGCTCTCTGTCTCTCTCTGGTCTCTCTCTCTGCCGAGGGAGGACTAGGATGTCCTATATATTGGGAGGCGAGCCCTCAGGTTGAGCTGATGGGGGGGGCGGCGAAGGGTCTCCTTACATTTGCCCTCGCTAATGTAGGGTCAGGTCTGGACTTTTTCAGAGACTATAAGTTGTATCTTCTGGAGAAGTCATCAGGTGGGGCCGTGACATGAGAGGCCCTGGTTGATTTGTGGCCCCTTGAGTTGGGCTCGAGAGTTACATTTGACCTGACTAATGTGAGGTCAGGTCTGGACTTCTTTCTGCGGTGTAGGATATTGTGTATATTGGGAGAGAGTCGGCTGGTGCCTTCTTACATGTTTGTTGGCCGTGTGACATGGGAAGGGGAGCCTGGCTGATTTATAACCCTTGGTCAACCGTGAGAGTTACCCTACACTTGACCTCCCTAATGTCGGGTCAAGACTGGACTGTCTCTAAGATGCAAGCTGCGGTCTGACAACCCATCACTACAGGATGATGGTGTCAGTACTATTGGTTAATGGTGTCAGTACTAGTGGTTGATGGTGTCAGTACTAGTGGTTAAGGGTGTCAATACTAGTGGATGATGAGGTCAGTACTAGTGGTTAATGATCAGAACTAGTGGATGATGATGTCAGTACTAGTGGTTAATGGTGTCAGTACTAGTGGATGATGTCAGTACTAATGGTTGATGATGTCAGTACTAATGGTTGATGGTGTCAGTACTAGTGGTTGATGATGTCAGTACAAGTGGTTAATGGTGTCAGTACATGTGGATGATGGTGTCAGTACTAGTGGATGATGGTGTCAGTACTAGTGGCTGATCGTGTCAGTACTAGTGGTTGATCGTGTCAGTACTAGTGGTTAATTGTGTCAGTACTAGTGGATGATGATGATAGTACTAATGGTTGATGGTGTCAGTACTAGTGGATGATGGTGTCAGTACTAGTGGTTGATGATGTCAGTACTAATGGTTGATGGTGTCAGTACTAGTGGATGATGGTGTCAGTACTAGTGGATGATGGTGTCAGTACTAGTGGATGATGGTGTCAGTACTAGTGGTTAATTGTGTCAGTACTAGTGGATGGTGATGTCAGTACTAGTGGTTAATGGTGTCACTGCTAGTGGATGATGATGTCAGTACTAGTGGTTAATGGTGTCAGTACTAGTGGATGGTGATGTCAGTACTAGTGGTTAATGGTGTCACTGCTAGTGGATGATGATGTCAGTACTAGTGGTTAATGGTGTCTGTACTAGTGGATGATGATGTCAGTACTAGTGGTTGATGGTGTCAGTACTAGTGGATGATGGTGTCAGTACTAGTGGTTAATGGTGTCAGTACTAGTGGATGATGATGTCAGTACTTATGGTTGATGGTGTCAGTACTAGTGGTTGATGGTGTCAGTACTAGTGGATGATGGTGTCAGTACTAGTGGATGATGGTGTCAGTACTAGTGGATGATGGTGTCAGTACTAGTGGATGATGGTGTCAGTACTAGTGGTTAATTGTGTCAGTACTAGTGGATGATGATGTCAGTACTAGTGGATGATGATGTCAGTACTAGTGGTTGATGGTGTCAGTACTAGTGGATGATGGTGTCAGTACTAGTGGTTAATTGTGTCAGTACTAGTGGATGATGATGTCAGTACTTATGGTTGATGGTGTCAGTACTTGTGGATGATGGTGTCAGTACTAGTGGATGATGGTGTCAGTACTAGTGGATGATGGTGTCAGTACTAGTGGATGATGGTGTCAGAACTAGTGGATGATGGTGTCAGTACTAGTGGATGATGGTGTCAGTACTTATGACTCCTTTAAAGTACGGTAGCCGGTATTACCTCAAGTTTAACTCACTACTCGCAAACAGAGAGAAGCTCGGGAAGCCGCCATCCCCCTGGACTCCCCGTCCACCTGGTACGATGTCCTCCGTAAACTTCCTGACCTCTCGTACGTCTACGGGAAAGGGTCGCGGAAAGGGGACGTGATTGCTGCCCGTATCATCATTGGGTATGAGTTTGCTTGGGAGATTGGTATCCCCGCATCCCCTGAGCAACGCTCTTGTGCATTATGCAGAAGACCCGACAGCAGCACTTTTCCACTACCTCCTAAGATGTCCCCACACACAACGCTTCCGTGACGCCTGCTGGACCACCACTCCACGACCCCCTGACGGAGACACGATGATCCTCCCCATACTGGCCAGATAATTTGTAAATAGTATTGATTATGTGTTAAAGGAATATCCTTCCTTCCTTAGGCTTTAGTAAGCCCCTTTATAATATTTATATTGTATATACTTGTCACACTTGCCAGATGCTTCTGGTGTCATTGTACAGGGGTACCTAGTGACAGTACTAGGATCCCGCTTCCTCTATCAAGGAATAAACAATTGAAATTGAATTGAATCCACTACTTCAGGGCCAGTGATTACCATGCATTAAATTCTGCTGTGTGGTGGAAGACGAGTTTATCACAGAATGCTGACAGTGTGTGTGTGTGCGCCTGCCTCCAGCTGGTCTTGCGTTATTAATAAACTCGTAAGGAAATATTTTAAGCTTGTTTTCGACGCATAACATGACAGACAAATCTCACTTACTCACAATTGTAAAACCCCCTTGAAAACCTTTACTCATGACGACTTACATTTTATCATCGCAGTTTATGTCGCACTGTGTTTAATTGTTAATGACTAGTGTATGTATTTGGTTATCTTAATTGTTGATGCATAATAATACATTATAACATTAACAGTCAACAGACACAACTCTCACAATTTTTCCCTCTTAGAATTTAACCACTGTTGTATTGGTACTGTACTAATCATCGGTAGAACATAAGTCAAGTATCATCAAATGCGTGATACTATCCTACCATACAAAGAACAAAGCAACCTGGTTGACAGAAAACAAAAGCCAAAAAAAAATATCACATTCAACAAACAAACTCCTAGATTAATTGAGGCAACCTGCGAATAATGCCAATTAGTAAGGACATATTGTACTTGTTAAACAGTTATTGGCCTTGTGTTTTCTTCGAATCTGCTTCATTATTGAGTTATAATTTACGCCAATAGATGATTTACAACAAGCCTTACCATAAAATATACAAAGTTTACTGTAATAATATATAGTGTATGTCGAAAGGAAGCCCCACATTATATTCTTACATACTAGATTATTCTCTTTTGTAGCTTTGTTGACATTGTATCTAAACACACACACACGATTTGTCTTGGTGAAGAAACCAGAAACTTAAATACTCCGTAGTGGTAAATGCAGTGTTGCGTGTTTTGTTTTTCTTTGTTGGCTCTCTCTCTCTCTCTCTCCTTTTTGCTGCACTACTCTTTCAGCCCCCTCTTAGCCTCCCATCCATTCCTACCCGCCCCTACCTTCTCCGTTCAGCCTGGAAAGTGAGGAGACAGTAGTGTAGTGTATGAGAAGCCCTCAAGGTACACAGGGGATAGCGTAGAGCCTCAACGTCAATACATGACCAGGTTGTGGCGTCTCGTGAGGCCATGGGGTGAGACTGTAGTTAGAGGCGGTCATATATTGGTATGTGTCAAAACGAAGGATATCCCTGCTTATGGTCAACTATTCCCAGGCCCAGGTAGGTGAGGTGACCCGAACCCAAATTTAACCAGTTCACTACTTCCCTCCATTAGACCTGGAAATAATTAAATAGAGGATTTTCGAAAAATCTTCAGCAAAAATCCAATACCGAGACTGACCGAAGTACCGAGACTTAGAACTGAAAAATGTCACGAGTTCTATCTCACTGGTATCTGTCAAGACTGAGGTCACGGGATTTATGTTTCAATGCTAGTGTCAAGATTAGGGTGCTGGAGGGTCATGGTCATGAGTTCGTTCCTGGTGAGTATGATCATTCCTGCGGAAGAAAATAATGTATTGTGTCCGGCAGGGTGGACAGCGCTCAAGACGGGAGGAACCTCGTGGAGGAGTTCGGCGGTATCACCTACACCTCCTACCTCAAGCTTCACCAACTCCTCAGTGCCCAGAAATGCTTGTCTACGGTCCACGATGAGCACCTCTTCATTATCATCCATCAAGGTAACTGTAACTTTACCTAACCTTTCGGCAAGGCTAGGTGATTATTCAGTGGGGAAATGGTTGATGTGGACTGTACTGTGCTGTACTGTACTGTGCTGTACAGTACAGTACAGTACTGTACTGTACTATACTGTACTGTACAGCACAGTACAGTATAGTGCAGTACAGTACTGTACTGTAGTATACTGTACTGTGCTATACAGTACAGCACAGTGCAGTACAGTACTGTACTGTAGTATACTGTACTGTGCTATACAGTACAGTACAGCACAGTACTGTACTGTACTATACTATACTGTGCTGTACAGTACAGTATAGTACAGCAGTGTACTGTACTGTACTATACTGTACTGTGCTATACAGTACAGCACAGTACAGCACAGTGCAGTACAGTACTGTAGTATACTGTACTGTGCTATAATAGTACAGCACAGTACTGTACTGTACTATACTGTACTGTGCTGTACAGTATAGTACAGCACAGTACTGTACTGTACTATACTGTACTGTAGTATACTGTACTGTGCTATGCAGTACAGTACAGCACAGTACATCACAGTGCAGTGCAGTACTGTACTGTAGTATACTGTACTGTGCTGTACAGTGCAGCACAGTACAGCACAGTGCAGTACAGTACTGTACTGTACTATACCTCTGTGCTATACATAGTACAGCACAGTACAGCACAGTGCAGTACAGTACTGTAGTATACTGTACTGTGCTGTACTATTCTGTACTGTACAGCACAGTACAGTATACTACAGTACTTTACTGCACTGTGCTGTACTGTACTGTACTGTGCTGTATTACTGTGGTCAGTACAGTACAGTACAGTACTGCACTGTGCTGTACGGTGCTGTACTGTGCTGTGTTGTACTGTTGTACTGTTCCGTACTGTACTGTGCTGTGCTGTACTGCTCTGTACTGTGCTGTATTGTGCTGTACTGCACTGTGCTGTACTGTGCGGTGCTGTGTTGCGCTGTACTGTGCTGTACAGAATAGCAGTAAGACAGTACAGCATAGTACAGCACAGTACAGTACTGTACTGTGCTGTGACAGTACTGTGCTGTGCTGTATTGTGTTGTGCTGTACTGTACTGTGCTGTACTGTGTTGTGCTATATCTGTACTGTACAGCACAGTACAGTATAGTACAGTACTTTTACTGCACTGTGCTGTAGTGTACTGTGCTGTATTGTACTGTACACAGTACTACACTGTGCTGTACTGTACTGTGCTGTACTGTGCTGTGTTGTACTGTACTGTGCTGTATGTGCCGTACTGTACTGTACTGTGCTGTACTGATCTGTACTGTGCTGTATTGTGCTGTACTGTACTGTACTGTTGTAATGTACTGTGCTGTACTGTGCGGTGCCTGTGCTGCGCTGTACTGTGGGTGGTGCTGTGTTGCGTTGTGATTGGTTTGAATACAGCACAGTAGTACAGTACAGTACAGTTCTTGTATTGTACTATACTGTACTGTGCTGTACAGTACTGTGCTGTACTGTGCTGTATTGTGCTGTACTGCACTGTGCTGTACTGTGCTGTACTGTGCTGTGCTGTACTGTGCTGTGCTGTGCTGTACTGTACTGTACGTGTACTATGCAGTGCTGTACGATACTGCACTGTTGTGCTGTGCACAGCACAGTGCAGTACAGTATTGTACTGTACTATACTGGCTGTGGTTACAGTACAGAACAGTACAGTACAGCGCAGTACAGTTAAGTACAGTACAGTGCAGTACTGTACTGTGCTGTACTGTGCTGTACAGTTCATGTACAGCACAGCACAGTACAGTGCTGTACTGTGCTGTACTGTACTGTGCTGTAGTGTACTGTACTGTATTGTACTGTGCTGTACTGTGCCGTGCTGTGCTGTACTGTACTGTTCTGTACAGTACTGTACTGTGCTGTTCTGTACTGTGCTGTGTTGTACTGTGCTGTACTGTACCGCGCTGTGCAGTGCTGTACTGTACTGTGCTGTACTGTGCCGTACTGTGCTGTACTATACTGTACTGTGCTATATTGTGCTGTACTGTGCTCTACTGTACTGTGCTCTACTGTGCAGTGCTGTGTTGTACTGTGCCGTACTGTACTGTGCTGTACTATACTGTACTGTGCTATATTGTGCTGTTCTGTGCTGTACTGCACTGTGCTGTACTGTACTGTGTTGTACTGTACTGTACTGTGCTGTGCTGTGCTGTACTGTATATCAAAATGATATGTGTTCATCATGGCAGTCGTTGTGGTCATGGTAAAGGATGTTTAAGGTTACACCAGCATCATTTTCTCTTGTGTTTTCTCTCTTTAGTTATTAAAATCCCGTGTTTTCATTTGAGTTCCTAAGCCAACTTTCATTTTGTAACTGGTAAATTATTCTATATATGCTGTGTGCACAAATGACATGCTGTGTTTTTATGTTTACTTTGTAGGTATAACATTTTCTCCCTCCCTCTCTCTCTCTCTCCAAGCTAGATAGAATACAGTACTGATGCTAGTTTATTTCCCTCTCAGCCTATGAGCTGTGGTTCAAACAGATAATCTTCGAGATCGACTCCGTACGAGAGATCTTCAGCCAAGAGGAGGTCGACGAACACAAAATGTTGGAGATTGTCAAGCGTATGCAGAGGGTCACGCTCATACTCAAGGTGTGTAACACGGACAAAAGATGGGTTCTGCTTGTAGTCGAGATGGTTCAGGCTAATAATCAAGGTGCAAGTTAAGATGAATTACACCATTTCTTAAGGTGGATCAAATTCATTCTTTAAGTGGGTCACACTCACACTTAAGTTGAACCGTGGCATCTTTGGCATTTAAGACATACTGAAGGAGCTCTGGGCATTTTGTGCCAGTAGTAGATAACCAAGAGAAAAAGTGTCTTTTGGTGCCATTTGACGGCAGCAGCAGGAGGGAGGTCCTGTGACCCCCAGCACCAGATAAAAGTGTGACAACAGGGTCGTGTTACTTTTCACACCAAAGCTAGTACTCCTCCAGATTTAAAGTTCTCACAATCGTGAGTCTCTCCTTGTACTAAATGTAATTAATATATCTTGTAATAACAACAAAACTTTCTACAAAACCACCTTATTACTTATAAGTTTATAGCAGGAGAAAATGTGTAAAAATATGACAGGATGGACGGGGTGGTGTTGAGACATCAGGGCTGAGGGTTAAACAGCCACATCTGGGGCTTCCTGGCCACTCTTCTTACCACCACGTGACCAAGATCATGTCCACCACCTCCCCCTCCCGCACATACACACACTAATGTTTGCCCCTCATGTAACGAGGATGGCCGGCCCTATGGTCACCTTGGCGTGAATTTGTTTAAGGTGTAGGTTGTCGCCAACACAACAACCACACCCTAAGTTAACGAGTTGCATGACCCGGTATCAAGGAATACTGTAGCCCGAGAAGACTGGACTCTCCCCAGTTACTGCTGGGTCGACAGAGGCAAATGACGTAAAGAAACTTGCCCTTAGTTTCACCCTGCCCAGGGATCGAACCCAGGTCAGCTCGCTTGCGAGGCGAGCTTGCTGACCATTAAAACACACACAAAACCTTCTATCTTGAACCCTCCAGCATACAAAGTTCCACCAAACTTACCCACATCTAACATCCATATAATAGTTGGCAGTTTTCTGTGTTTTTTCTTATCCCTTGGATCCACAGGAGAAGATTCTTGATCCAAATTTGGTCGTTTTTTTTAATATGGGCTGATCACTGCCATTTCTTTTCCTTTGGCCTCACAGTATATCATATTTTGGTTTGAAGACTTCCATTATGTTTCTGTTCCTGTCTCTACAAGATACTGTTTACCGAGCATACATACTGTATGAGTACTTTATCCTGTGGTAACACAAGGTCTTTCTCTACAGCTGTGTGTGGACCAGTTCCTCATTCTGGAGACCATGACACCTCTCGACTTCATGGAGTTTCGTGATTACCTCTCTCCAGCATCAGGATTTCAAAGCTACCAGTTCAGGCTTCTTGAGAACAAGCTTGGGGTCAAAGGGGTGAGTTCTAGGACCTAAGAGAGAGAAAAATACTTAGTTATTAACGATACTGTACACGTACTGTAATCTGGAAGCGAAGTCTGTCACTTGTTTTATGTAATATTTTTGTAGTTGTTTGCAAGAAGCCACGACAAATGAGTTGATATGACACTCTATGTAACAATTATTGTGAAGTAAAGAGAACTAGAAGTTGATGGAGGTAGTGCAAGTGGGTCCCATATGTTTGAAGTCCCATTTGATGCATCATGGATACATCACAGTGGCAAAGGAGATAGGTAAGTAAAACAGTGAAGACCAAGGAGACAGGGATATATTATGACTGGTACTACACATTGCCCATCAGTTTCCCACTGTTAAAGACAGGGGTACCTATTCTGCAGCTGAGTCGCCAAGACTTGAGCTGATAATTGTTGTTGGCTAGTGAGGACGATGTCTGCTTTGCACATGGTGGCACTCTTGATGCTTTGTTAAAGTAAATTGTCTTCATGGTGCTAATATTTAGTTTTGATTATGATACTTACTATAACCCAAATTTTAATTAAAATTCTTATTCCATAGGAATTGCGAGTCCGATACAACCAAGAAAACTACTCAAAGGTGTTTGGTGATGAACCAGAAGTGTATAAGGCAATCAAGACCTCAGAAGAGGAGCCGTCTTTACAGAACTTGGTGAACCGCTGAACGCACACCAGGTCTGGAGGAACGAGGCTTCAACTTTTGGGATAAGTACAAATTGGCTGTAGACAACATTCTTGACGAACAACTCCGGGATGCTGAGGTAAGCTATCAATCATTATATCTGTAAAAAAACTGGTTATGCTCAAGTACTCAACATTATTATAATGACAAATTATAGAACCAAGTGAAGGTAATTATATTGTTAGAGTATTGTTCAGAAAAATATATACTGTAATAATTATGATGGTACAGTATAATTTTGCCTTAATAAAAAACTATTACTGGTATCATCTTACTCTCTTATCAGCCTTCCTGTTTTTCTCGCAATAAAATTCATAAATTTTTAACATTTCTATTGTATAGTACAGTACTAGTTTTTCAATCGTGCCATTTCTTTCCTCAGGCAGAAGAGAGTGAGAACCTCCGATCATATATGACTGGTCAGCATAAGAAGCGTCGAGAAATGTTTAACAGCATATTTGACGTCAGGGTCCATAATGCCCTGATGGCCCGTGGGGAACGACGCCTCACTCACAAAGGCCTTCAAGGGGCCCTAATGATTTCCTTCTATCGGGAAGAACCTCGCTTCAACCAGCCCCACCAGTTACTCACACTACTCATGGATGTTGACTCTCTAATGACTAAGTGGAGGTGTAAGTAATTTGGAACAATTTAGGAAATCCTTCCATCTTCCCAAGAACACAGTTGATTATTTTGGCTATTATAGTTACTCAGTAGCATTTGAAGGCGCTACAGCTTCTTTATTATAAGCTAGTATTGTACTGTACTAGTGCTCTGTACTATATACTGTACTGAGAGTACTTCTGGTTGAACACCTCTATCTTAATCTGCTTAGTGTTTGTCCAGTCTTTTCTCAAAGGTCATCACATTTGGATACACAACCATCTGTTCACATTGTCAGATTCATGCATTCATAGTTTTCGTGATGCAGCAATAATCTGTGTATCTCTCGCTAGTATGTCTACGTTCAAGTCCAGGTCTTGGACAGATATAGAAAGGATGTTATTCAGTGTGATCCTACTAAGTGTGTTCACACACAGGGTGGTGAAATGCGTCTAGTTTGGCAGCATTATGTTAGTATTGAAGTGCAAGCACTGCTTGTTCCTTTCGCTTTCAGCTACCGCCGCTAGCTGGCACTGGTGGCGAACAGGGAAGCAACATGCATAAGTCTTCCCCTGCCAGTAAACAGCCTCTTTACCATCAAGACTCCTGCTGTGCCTCCTCTTGGCAACACACAGTAACTGGGTGCCTCGTGGGCCCAGGCTAAAGAGTAGCAGTGGGCCTCAGAGGGACGGCGCATAGGCCCACTGGTATGTGGACACGTTCTGGCGCCTACCAGCCATTACCCTGCTGCCTTGCGGATTAATCTTGGCAGGTATAAGGCTATGGAAGTAAACCCCAAAAGAAAAATCTGCGATGGAGCTCCGCATCAGGCAAACATGTTACAGAGCTCCAACAAGACCCCAACGGCGGTAGAGGCGGAAGAGGTGACCACCATGGGAACCCAACGACTACACCTGGACGAAGGTGCATTCCTGAGGGACAGGCTTCTAAGGCGAAACCCAACAAACTGGGCTATCGACAGTCCATTGCAACTCTCCTCTCCCCAGTCATTGCAACACTTGCATCACTGGATCAGGAAAAGGGAGAGCCATGATGTGTGGTTGCAGCCTACGCTCCTGCCTCACCACATAAATCAATTCACACACAACCATCATCCGGTTCATCATACCTCTCATCACCATCAGAACCCCTATACCCCCAAAGTCTTATGGCGACGGACGAGTGGCGACGGGGACAGGCAGAGATGACTGCCGGTAGTTTCTAGTTACAACTCTACACATGGGCGGCAGAAATAAGATGGTCGTTTATGCACTGGGATCTAGGCAGCAGTGCAAACCGGTCCTGTCAGTGCGACTGAGCAGCCCTTTCGAGGAGCCACTCTGCTCACCCCACATGCGGAGGGGGCTAGAAAAGGTGCCCTAAGCATAGCCTGCCTGAAAGACCAACCTGACTGGGGAAACCGCACCCAGTAAGGTCATCCTTATGCTGTCGAAAACACAATCAAAATCACAGATCCAATCAAAAACAAACTATACTGCACAACCCTTTATGGTCGCTGCATGGAATGTGAGGCCCCTTCTGGATACTGACACAAATGAGCGTCCTAAAGAAGAATTGCCGTTGTGGCAAAACAGCTAGCTAGGTTTAACATCGACATAGTAGCCATTAGCGAGTCCCAGCTCCCAGACGAGGGTCAACTCACAGAACAGGGGTCTGGCTATAAGAACATAAGAATGGAGGAAACTGCAGCGGGCCTATTGGCCCATACTGGGCAGTCCCGTTCACACCCAACCCCTATTGCTCATATAAGCATCCAACCTATGTTTGAAGCTATTCAGCGTATTTGAGTTAATGATGATATTTGGTAACTTGTTCCATTCATCCACTACTCTGTTTCCAAACCAGTGTTTACCTATTTCGAGGCTAAATCTAAATTTGTCTAATTTAAAACCATTGTTACGAGTTCGCTCCTGGTTGGATAGTTTGAGTACCTTTGTAATGTCCCCTTTGTTTAGCCCTGACTTCCATTTAGACACCTCAATCAGGTCGCCCCTCGCTCTACGTCTCTCGAGGGAGTGCAAATTAAGATGCTTTAATCTGTCTCTATACTCAAGGTTCCTAATGCCCGGGATTAGTCTCGTCATTCTCCTCTGAATTCTTTCCAAGTATTCTATATCCATTCTGTAATACGGTGACCAGAACTGAACTGCGTAATCCAGGTGTGGTCTCACAAGAGCAAGATACAGTTTTAGGATGACCTCGCTAGTCTTGTAACTAACACTCCTTTGTATGAACCCAAGTACTTTATTAGCCTTGTTACGAGCAAAAACACATTGTTTACTTGGCTTAAGGTTCCTACTTATCATTACTCCTAAATCTCTCTCGCAGTCGGATTTCTCTATGGCATCGTTGTTCATCAGGTATCTAGTTTCCCTGTTTACATCTCCTATACTGAGTACTTTACATTTGTCCACGTTGAATTTCATCTGCCATTTTTCAGACCATTCGAAAAATTTGTTTAGATCTTCCTGTAGTTTTGCGGAGTCCTCGTCAGATTTAATAACACGTCCTATTTTAGTGTCATCAGCAAATTTGCTTATGTTGCTGTCTATGCCGATATCTATGTCGTTTATGTATAATAATGGTCCAAGTACTGAGCCTTGGGGAACTCCACTTGTGACGTTGCTCCAATGGGACTTAGTGCCATTAATGCTCACTCTCTGTTTCCTGTCCTGTAACCACGCCCTAATCCATTTAAGGATATTACCTTTGATGCCATGTGCTTCTACCTTTCAAATTAGTCTTTCGTGGGGGACTCTGTCGAAGGCTTTGCTAAAGTCGAGATATACCACATCATAATTGTGCCCCTCATCCACCTATTCGAAAACTGATGAAAAGAATGTCAATAGATTAATTAGACATGAACGTCCGCTTGTGAAGCCATGCTGGGAATCATTGATCAATCGGTGCTTCTCCAGGTGATTTCGAATAGAGTTTGAAATGATTGCTTACAGTAATTTGCCTTCTATTGATGTTAGACTGATTGGGCGGTAGTTAGAGGATAGTGATCTATCCCCCTTCTTGAAAATCGGTATTGCATTCGCTATCCTCCAGGATTCTGGTACTACACCTGTTTTTAAGGACATGTTAAACAACTTTGCTAAGGGCATACTAAGCTCTTCCTTACATTCCTTTAATACTCTGGCAAATATCTCATCGGGACCAGGTGACTTATTAGGCTTTAGTTTGTCTATTTGCTTACTAACATCGTTACTAGTCACTACTATTTCGCTTAATTTGTTTTCTTCACTATCTCTGAATAGAGTCGGTGCCCCGGGTATCATGTTTAAATTCTCGGTGGTGAAAACTGTTGAAAAATATTTATTCAAATTATTGCTCATTTCTCTGTCATTATCAGTGAGCTCGCAGGTATCTGACCATATTGGTCCAATCTTTTCTCGTGTTTTAGTTTGATACATTTGGTAGAACCCTTTGGGGTTTGTCTTCGCCTCCCTTGCTATCCTTACCTCATTATTCCTCTTGGCTTTCCTTATCTCGGTTTTAACCCTACTCGCCAATACCCTATAATAATCCCGGAGGTAAATTTCGCCACGATTTATCCTTCTACCTATAGCCTTCCTTTGGCCAATGATGTTCTTTAAATAACTATTTATCCATTTAGGGTTATTGTTGTCTGATCTAAGTTTTTTGTATGGTATGTTCTGCCTCTGTGCATTAAGTAACTCATTATTTAAATTGTCGTGGAACTCGGCAATCTCAGATCTTGTTATCAGGTCGGTGTCATCTGTCAGGTTCACGGCCAAGCGCGACGCCCCCTCTCTCAGCTGCCTCTTTAAACTGTCAAAGTTTGCCCTTCTGAAATCTGGTACTTCAGTGGAATTTTCCTTACGTCTGCCCTGAAAATCTAACTGGAATCTAATTTCTTTGTGATCGCTGTTTGCAAGTTCGTTCCCTACCTTGACATTGCTAATGAGGTTTTTTCTGTTTGACAGAACTAAATCGAGTATATTATTACCCCGGGTGGGTTCGGTGATATATTGACTTAGAAAACAGTCCTGGATCGTCTCGAGAAAATCCTCTGATTCTGAGTTACCTGTAAGGTCAGTCCAATCTATTTGGCCAAGGTTAAAGTCGCCTACTATACAAACTTTGTTGTGTATGGAAGCCCTGCGCATTTCATCCCAGATAAGTCGCTCATTGACTCTATCAAGATTGGGAGGTCTATATATTACTCCTGTGATTAATTTTTCCCTACCGTCGATTAAGTCTATCCAAATTGTTTCTGTATTCCGCTCGGTTTGTATTTCCTTATTTATTTCACACTTCAGATTATCCCTAACATAGATTGCTACCCCGCCTCCTTTCCTGGTCTGCCTATCGGTATGGAACAGTTTGTAACCCGCAATTTGGTATTCGACCAGTAACTCACGTGAGTTTAGGTTGATCCTTGTTTCAGTGAATGCTATTATATCGATTTTTTCGGTACATACCAAGGCCCTAATATCATCCATTTTGTTTTTCATACTTCTACTGTTCGCATAGTATACATTTAAGTTAGTCGTGTTCTGAGTCTTCCCCTTACCGCGTTTAGTTTTAAACTCCTGTCTACCTTAGTTTTGTCATCATTCCTAACACTATTTCCCTGTAATCTTTCACTTTGTTTACCCGCTACCACTGCAGTCTCCTCTACCCCGTGCTCATATGTTCTCCTAGCAGTTTAAAGACTTCAATATCTTTTGAACTGCCCCCTCTAGAGCCCCAGCCAGGGTTGCCACCCCCTCCCGAGACAGGTGCACCCTATCCCTAGCATAAAGGTCCCTTCTGCAGTAGAAGTTGTCCCAGTTGTCAATGAATGGGACTGATATTGACTTTCAATATCTGTCAAGACGGTCATTGACACCAACTGTCCTTGACAACCATTCACTGCCAACTCTCCTTCTAGGCAGGACACCGCATATGATAGGGATCCCTCCCTTACTCCTAATATGATCTATAGCTGCCTTGAACTTATCAAGAAGCTCCTCGCTCCTACACCGGCCAATATCATTGCCTCCTGCACTGAGGCAGATAATGGGTTTGTTCCCATTACCAGACAAGATATTGTCCATCCTGTCAGTTATATCCCCCACCCCAGCTCCTGGCAAACACACCCTCATCCTATTTATGTTTTTACCACAAAAAGCCCTGTCCAAGTACCTTACCTGTGAGTCACCAACAATTAAAGTTGTTATACTTTCCTTGTCAGCCCTTTCCCTGACTGTACTAATGTCCAATTCGTCTATCAAGGGACTGAACGAGTTGGTACACTTAGCTGCTGATGTCGTTGTTGATGTATCCTTGGTGTGTTTCTTCATCACCAGCTTGGTCTTCCCTTTCCTTACAACCTTTCACTCGCTTGAATTTTCGTCAGACACTGGCTTTCTTGAATTTTCGTCAGACACTGGCTTTCCCTGTCCCGCCTCCCCCTTCAATCTCGCCATCTCTTCTTTTAATTTCAGGTTCTCCAACGTGGCCCTCTCTATTTCTTCCTTGGCCCTCTCCAATTCTTCCATGGTCCATTCCAGCTTGGCCAACAAACTCGCAGACCCCAGACCACACATAGCGCTGGCCATATCTGATAATTATCCCTCTGGAGCTAACCCTGCCATGACCTTTCCCCTAGTGAGGTCAGAACACTATACCTTCTTCTGGAAGGGTAAGCCTGCTGCAGAGAGAAACCACATTTATGGAGTTGGCTTTGCCATCCGCCAACGCATCCTACACAGGCTAGCTGAAATGCCAATTTGGATCAATGAGCGCCTCATGACGTTCCGAGTCCTACTGAATCACTCACGTCATGCCTTTTTCATCAGTGCATACGCCCTAACACTGGATGCAGAGGATGACATCAAGGAGGCCTTTTACGCCGACCTCGACAGAGGGCTACCTTCTATCCCCAGAGAAATTAAGGTTGTGCTCCTTGGTGACATCGGTGCCAGAGTTGGCAGAGATACTGACATTTGGCAGGGAACCATAGAGAGAAATGAACTAGGCAAGTGTAATCCCAACGGCCTACTCTTCCTCAGCAAGTGTGCTGCACACAATCTCACTATCACTAATACCTTGTTTAGGAAGGCCGACAAGTTCAAGGGTTCGTGGCAACACCCACGATCCAAACAATGGCATCTCATTGACTACATCATTGTCAGAGAAAGAGATTGCCGAGATGTCCTCATCACCTATGCTATGCGTGGCTCAGACCACTGTGACACTGATTATCGGCTCGTCAGAGCCAAGCTCTCTCACTTCACGTTGCCCCGAAACGGCGAAGGCACCAAGCCTCCAGAAGAGGTTTTAGTACTAAGCATCTGGAGGATCCAGTGGTAGCACATGCTTTCAGAGAGCAGCTTGAACATGGGCTGATAAACAACCCAACAACAAACAACCCAAATCCCAGTGCCATATGGAGATTCTCAACACTGTCATGGCAAAAACAGCAACGACTTGTTTAGAGAAGAGAACAGAGTGAGACGGGTGTGAACTTTCACTGAGGCTCTACAGTATTCAGAGCCTCCAGAAAATGACGTGAGTGATAGAGAGTGAGGAAAGGGGGTCAGAGTGAGAACAAAAGACTCTTACAGATCTTGGGCGGTGTTGCTTGTGATGGAGACAGACACAAAACTTTGAGATTAACATTGGTACACAGAATAGTTAGGTTATGGTAAGTTACAGGAATAAGGAGGATGTCCACCAACAAGAGACAGTAATGAGAGGACAACTGTTGAAGCCATTGGATAAATTTATCTACCTGGGGAGTGTAGATGCATCAGATGGGAGACAAAATTGAGATACTGAGAGGGGAGGATGGATTCTGAGATGGCATATCTGAATATTAGGCAAGTTTTGTCATGCCTTTTCTTAATGTACCAGAAAAGTTATCATCAACATTGCATCTAGTTCAATTCATGGTTATCTTGTAATGTGTCCATTGCAGACAATCATGTAATGTTGGTACAACGGATGATTGGATCTCAGCAGATTGGCACTGGCGGGTCTTCTGGGTATCAGTACCTTCGATCGACACTCAGGTAAGTCATTAATATACACATTCTGTGCTTCAGTTCACATGGAATCGATCTGTCTGTATGTCCAACAGCCTGTTTTAGTCCTCAGCTCTCATGGGGGTGCTTTAAGAGAAAAGGTACCATAAAAAATGGGTGAAATTTTAAGAGAAAGTGACTGAGGCAAGAAATAGAATGTAGAAAGTGAAATGAAGAGGCTGACAGAATAATTAGGAACAGTCCACATGTACTTAATCATATCCAAAATTTTATTCAAATATACATTGTGAATATTTAATGGTGGTACAATACATGCTTACTTTGTCATCCTCTTCTTCAGTGGTTGGCTCACTTGCTAGTCAGGTGGCCAGTCGTATTCTCATTCTCGGCACACCCTCCTTCTCCATCCAAGCCTTAAGCTTTAATCTCCCACATTGTCTTTAGCATCCACAATTATTCAGTACCAATCTTTCTGTGTCCCTACAGCTTTTCTAAGATAATTTAGTGTTTCAAAGGTCCATATTAATTTTGTGATTCTTATTTTATAAAACCCGCCATGAGAAAAACTAGCAAGTCAGGTAGCGGATTCTCCCCATGGTATCATATTTGTATGGGCAGAAAGACAGCTTTGTAAGTGCAGAATATTTTAATTCGGACTACAGTTTTCATATGTGGAGAGGTAAAGGAGTTCAATGAACTGTACTTGTGAATTTCGCAATAATTTTTATTTTTCTTCTGACTGTGTGCTATCAATTAAAAATAATTTTGATATATTTTATAAAGGAATTTTCAAGCTCTTACGTGTACTATTTTCTTTGTTGCAGTGATCGTTATAAGGTGTTCCTTGACTTATTCAACTTGAGCACTTTCCTTCTTCCGCGTAACTCTGTCCCGCCACTGACCCGTCAAATGAAGTATCGACTGAGCATCATGGAAGACTTAGATCATGGGAAAGTAGAGATGAAGGAAGTGTCTAAACTAAGAACACACGATTCTTCCTCCGTCACCTTTGTCTCCTCTGACTCCCCATGTCCTCTCGACAACGGAGAGGAGAAAGTCTTCTCGGATAGTGACTTGGATAAGAGTTTGGAGAATAGTATGGAAAGATCCTGCGAGGCTTCAATGTAAGAGGTAAAATAAATTGATCTTTTGACAGATACTTTAAAGAAGATTAATTTTGTTGTGCATTTTGTCTCGATTGCTATTGACATGACCAATTTGTAATGCAGCAAGTAGTACAGTAGTTCAGAAAATCTTTCAATTGTTTTGGCATGGTACAAATGTCCCTTTCTGTTAAGTTTAAAAGTCTATGTAAGTGTTCATATATCTTTAGTTAAGAAAAGTTATATTTAGGTGAAATGATGAATAGCATCAACACAGTTAATAGTAGATATATTTTTTACTCTACCTAAATGTACTTTCTTTTCCTCAATGGCATAGGAGGATTTGAAGAACTTTATTGTTTTTTAAACAAATAATGATAATAATCTATAATATACAGGCATTAATATAAATGGTACAAATATTTTCATTATATATACTAAATTAGGGTTGCCATACGTCCGTATTTTCCCGGACATGTCCTCCATTTAGGTCTCGAAATCTTCATCCGGAAGGAATTTTTAAAATTCTTCAAAAGTCCGGAATTTCAGCTTCCATCATTTTCTCCACGGAAAAAAAACATGAAACTGTAATGACGGGAGAGAGAGACAGAGAGAGGGGAGGTGGAAACCGTAGAGATCTCGTTCAGTTTTCGTCAGCTGATAAGTCACTTGTACGCCTGTAGGTGTTGTCAACTTAGCTGTCAAATATTTGATTGATAAGGAGGTAGAAGTTGATGAAGTGTTTTGACCAAGTTAGTAACCTGAAGCAGTTTGTGGAAAATTGCAAGAGTGATGAAGAATTTAGTAATCTGCCAACACATAAAAAGTAGACCAGATACTTTGAAAAATCAAAGAACATTGAATGCCACTCAGAATTGCACAATTCTTCTTTGCTATATCATCTCACAATGCAAATGTAGAAAGAGTTTTTTCACTGATGCAAAGTCAATGGACAGAGGAAAGGAACAAATTGAGTGTTGAAACAATGAAAGGCATTCTGACCGTACAGTACAACTTCCGAGAAACACCTTGCAGTGACTTCTATACCTTTCTAAAGAGCAATCAGCCAATACTGAAAAAGGTCCGATCTACAGAAAAGTATGCATAGGCACATCAAGTCACACACACAGTGGGGGAAGAAGACTGCAGCTAAGGGAGTGAAGATGTTCAGCCTTAAGCAAAGGTAATTTTTTTTTAAGATTTCTATACCATGTATGTTGTATATTAGCCTGTGTGTGCCGGGGGGGGATGTCTTCGGGAGCGTCCTCTTTTTTGAATGTTCAGATATGGCAACCCTATACTAAATACGGTATGCAATATTCTGTTTGGAAAATGAACTAATTTCATCATAAGTATTTGAATACTTCTAAAGAGTTTGAGTATAAGAGTGTGACAGTGATACCTCCCAATAAAAAATGTAGGACCTAAAACATTTTGGTCTGTGATGGAACACATTCCTCCCAGCCAATTCCTGATATAGTATGTGAACACTATCCTCCCTCTTAAATATTTACTGTATTATATTCATGCCACGCTCATCCCTTACATGATTGACGGTCAGCTCTCTCTCTTGTTACATCTGTGTGTTATCCTGAGTCACAGTTTTGTTTACTCTTATCACTGTATCCACTCTATAGATGACACTCTTGTCTTCATTCTCTTCTCCACTTCAGATTTCAAGGACTACCTCACTAGTGCAAGCATTCTTTTAGTCTGTATCACGTACTGTAATTGGCTCACACTTCACTCTTATACATTAAAAACTGAACCACACCTTTCCAAAATCATCTGATAGTCAACATAACTTGGACCACTAAAACGTCTTTTCGAGATTCAGTAATTTATGAATCATTCAGGACTTTTATGTATTTCAGTTTTATGCATTTCAGTATCCATTTCTCTCAATTCTCCCATAGATCTTTGTTATGTCTCTGGTAGATTTGCAAGTGCAGTACTGTACTGTCATTTTAATGATAAATACAACGACTTGGGCATGTCAGCTCAGCTAGCACTCAGCAAATTAAGGGATCTGGTTCATGCTACTATTGTATATGGCTCTACTGAGTATAGCAAGCATATGTCACAACTGGAAGAGGCAGTAAATGCAAATTGTAAGCTTAGAGATGATCGTTGTACGTTCTCTTGAGTCAATGATTTGTGAATAGCCATCACTAACAGGTGTGATAAGTAGGGTAGGATAAACAGCTAACTCATTGTGCATGTGGTATTTAAATTTTCTTGAATATAATTTAGCAGGTTGTAATCTGCATTAAACCACTTTCACATTTGAATATTTTTACATGCCATTGTGAATGACTTGTTTACAATATTTTGTACTGTGTTTTTTAAGTTTATAAAGGTATAAACTAAAAAAATGTGGTGTTTCAGGAAAGAAATTAAAAAACTAAATGCAGTAAATATATATAGTTTGGGCACAGATAATCCCTACCTAGCTGTAATCCCATCTTGCAGCATTGGGACGATGACCAACAATGAGATAGTGAATGAGTTGCAGGCATGACTTCATTGGCAAAGGTAATAAAAATGATGTGGAATATCTAATATATCTGCTAATTCTAGTGAAATACTTTATACGAGTATATCGTCTCACCATGGAAATTGAGGCAAGAAAGCTGTACAGTACAACAATTTCATTTCTGTTGGACAGATGAGCTCATCGTCATCATCACTGTCTTACAGCCAATTTCCATGAATGCGTAGATTAGCCGAGGTTACCTGACGGCAGCTCTCCAAACTGTATGGATTCCTCCAGCCTCTCTTGTCAGGTTCTTATCTCTGAGATCATCACTCACAACCTGTCAATCTTGCCCTGCTTCTGACTCTCCTTGCCTCCACGTTCATATTCATGCACCTCATGACCCATTTGTCTTACAGATAGATAGCTGTCATGTACTTATGTGATCAGTAGAATACAATGCCAGAACAACTTGTACAGAACACTCCTTGACCCCAAACTTTCTATCCACTACACTACGTGCCTTTACTAAGTGTACAAATACGAAATACAGCTTTCTCTCCTTCCTCGAAATTTTATGTGTACAGTTACAGTTAAAAGTAATCATCAAGCCCTCCTTATACCATACCCACAAGTTTAGGCCTTTCTACGTGACCGAGTAAGGTAGGAGGACTCAAGTCAATATGTAATGAGAGTGTATGTGGTCTTAGAATATAGCATGACGTCGACGGGGAAGTGTCATATGAACTTAACTTTCCCTTAGTTATCTGTGCCTTTACTTGAGATTCCGGGGAGCAATGCGAGTGAGGTTTTGGCAGGAATTGTGCCATTAGGGTTGATAAGGCGTCTATCTTCCACGAGGGAAAGCCCCCTGATTCGACAACATAAGAGTGCGTGGCTTTGCGTTCAGCCTTGCTCACCATCAGTAACACTAAACTAGGCTGTTGCTTGATCACTTCCACCTCCCACTACCACCATTCTTAAAAAAAAAAAATCACTTACCCGTAATTTCACCACTGCCACACTATCAAAACCTCTGAAAATTAATTACGCTTTCTATATAATTATTAAAAGAGAGTAGTCTATGTACTGATTCAATGGAATACTCTCGCATAAGCAAATAACGAAAGGGCCCTAATAAAATTTAACTGTTACTAACCGTTGCTGGATGACAGATGGCGTTGAATGTACAGTAGTCCTAATTATATTGTGTTATACATCGAGGATTCTTTTATACTGTACCACCTTAAAGTTATGGCCAAAACAATAACCCAACTAAATTGTCCCTGCAAATTAGCACCAGTGATAATACAATAGTCAGTCAGGTTTATGAACTGCTGGGTGACGATGTTTTTATTCCATTACTACTTCAGATGGCTGGTTGGTGATCATTCTTCTAATATGTCATATACAGTACACAGAAGAAATAAACTAATGTAGACTTAATACTGATTGTCTGAAGGCTTTGGAATATTAAAACATTATGAAATTATTCAATACGTCTGTTGGATTTGGAGGCATCTTGCTCTCTTCAGTGCAAAGCTGGTCTGACTGTGACTCGCTCATATGACGTTGTGTCGGCGTCTATCTCCATCTCGTGTCATTACGTGATCATTCGCGCATGGAAATGAACTTAAACGTTTATATGGCTCTCCTCAATAACAAATCTATAATTCTTTATATTGTATTTCGTAACTTTACTAATTTACTATGAGGTAGTTTTCCATTAACTTTGGTAAGTAAAGGAAACAAATCTTAGTTTAGGAGAGAGGTTTCCACATCACACCGAAATATAATCTCTGACTTACTAGTGCTTCAGGCAGGTCTTTCAAATGTTCTTCTTTTATCAGCTTGTCCAAGTTAGTAAGTACAGAAGGCAAATTATTGGTTTGTGAACGGCTGGCTATAGCTAGTGTGTTAAAAATTGCAAGAGCTCTTGAGATTTTGTATGACGTGTGTCGGTAAATATTAAAATTAAATGTGATTTCCACCCTCGTATTCAATATGTAAATATCTAATTACCGTTGTTTAAAACCCAAACCGCAGCCTGAAATAATGATAAATAAGGAAATGGTTAGCACATTATAATAATAATAATAAAATAAGGGTCATCATCTAATACTCTTTCAAGCATGTAAACCTAAGATAATTCTGTAGTGAGAAAAAACTTACATCCATCCTTCCCTTCTTTCATGAATTTTTCTTGCCTTCTTCAACCCTCCCACCTTCTCTGATATGCAATTTGCATCGCGTCAAAGGAAACCCAAAAGCGTTTTACCTCGACGCAATGTCGAAATTAAAAACGCGAATAGGCGTATTGGACTTGAGGCTTGAAGATGGTACTTACGTATATTCTAACTAGGACAAGGCGGAGGCGTTGAATATATTCTTTTCCTCGGTGCTCACAAGAGAGGAAGCGAACAATCTTCTTGCGTTTGAGGACAGACGGTTTAACACAGTGCTGACCCACATTGTGTTCTCAGAAAAAAATATAGGAAATAAATTGCCCAAAGCTAAAGGTTCATAAGAGTCCCGACCCTGACATGGTGCATCCCAGAGTGCTAAGAGAGTTGTGCAAGGAGCTTACTGAGCCCCTAAAATCCTGTTCTGTAGATGCCTGGATGAGCAAAAGGTTCCCAGTGATTGGAAAATGGCTTATGTGGGTCTTATTTTCAAAAACGGCAATCGTCACTCCACGAATAATTATAGACCAGTGAGCCTGACTAGCATAGTATGTAAAGTACTTGAGGGCATTATAAAAGATGTCGTGATGGAACATCTACTTTGAAACAACCTTGTAAATGATTGCCAACACGGTTTTATGTCGGGACGCTCCTGCTTAACACAATTACTCAAGGTACTGGATGTTTGGACCCAAATTCTGGAAAAAGGTAGCAATACCGATAATATATACTTAGATTTTGCCATGGCTTTTGAAGGAGTACCCCATGAAAGGCTGAGAATTAAACTGGAAGGGTACGGGATTCGGGAGTGTCCTAGTGTGGATCGGAAACTTTCTGCATTATCAC